TGCGATTGGTTAGAGAGAAAGTTTTATATTTTACTCTTTTGTATGTAATTTCGTGACTAAATCCACTTCTGAGAAGTTTTGAGGTGAGAAATCAGCTGTGTAGATTTCAAATATTGACAGTTTTACGAGAAGTGATGGCGGAACAAAAATGTGCTTGAATGTTTTCGGAGTTGAGGAGCTCCGCAAGTGGCTGCGAGGGATGCCTGTGCCAACCCGCGTGGAGGAGGAGCGTGTGAAGCCGGCCAGCCGCCCGCTCACAGAGCCCTCTGCTCCCACCGTCACACAGACCGCTGCCGCAACAACGGCAGAGGAAAACACAGCTGGAAGGTTTTCATACCGCTTATCTGTCTTTACATTCTGAGGAATGTTGAAACGTTTTAACTTAAAAAAGAGAAAGCTGTGTGGATCGCTGGTGTGTGTCGCATTGAACATTATGTCGTGGCAGTTGTGTGTGGCGTCGCTATGACGACAAGCTATGTACTATCTCTGGGTACTACCTGCAATGGAAAACGGAGCAGATAAAAAATTAAACCATGGACTGAGCCAGGCTTGCCGTTTCCCCCTGCTTCCAGTCTTTGTGTTAAGCTATGCAACCATCTCTGGCTCTCGCTTTGTATCTAGCATACAGATGAGACCGGTATTAATTTTCTATAACTCTAAAAAAAAAATAATATATGTTTATACCAAAATGTCAGGGATGAGTAACAGGAATGGGCAATTGTATCTGAAAACCATGGTAGAGGCAAAAGTTTGAGACAGAAAACCTGAACAAATCACACCAAAAGTATCTGTTTATATTTGGAGGTGATTTTGTGTTTTGTTTTGGTGAACTGACCCTTTAAAGAGCAATTTGGCAAAATTATACATTTACATACAAACATACACACACGTGTACGGTTCTCTGCGCCCTGTGTTGGGTGTCACTAGATTAGAGGGTTCTGTAGTTTCTCACTGACATCAGACTCTGACCCTGCAGGCCTTTCTTTGCATTCAGCCCCTTCATTAGGCTCCTGCAGAGTGTGGCCACTCACCCAGGGAGGGGAGGTCATCTTCCAGCCTTTTACTAATCACAGCCTCCCCTCCTGAGCTGCCAGACCCCTCACCAGCAGCTGGCAGGTGAATCAACGCACTCTTTGTCGAATCACCTAAAAGGTCTGTTTTCTCCCCCTGAATCTTTTTTTTTTATGTGGCTGATTATGGGGTAAAAGCCAGTGAGTCAGAGAAGTACTGTTGTTGGGTTTGAACTAACAGCTGCTCCTCATTCATTACCTTAATGTTTTCTTTCTTTCTTTCTTTGTCATCATGAAAGTCTTTTGTAAGGCACAGCCTTGTATTTATGTCATGATGTATACTTGTGTATTCATGTTTAGAATCAGACCGAGCAATCCTCCAATTTCTCTCTGACTGTGTAATCCTGAATTTATGCCTCGCAAATCTTGTATGGAGCAAAAGTTAGGAAAGATGGGAAAACAATGAATCAGATCACATACAAGAGAGAGATAAAGGAAGAATGGAGAGGGAGGGGAAGTGGGAGGAAGGAGAATGATGAGTGTAGGATTGTGACAGGTGATAAATTAATGTGGAAGGTTTATGACCCCTGCAGTTAACACTTTAGATGCTCTAAATCACTGTTGGAGCAGGGTGTCCCCTTTTTAGAGAATATGGGCAGTTAAAGCCCCATGCTGTGCTAATGAGGGTGCCCGGTGCCTTAACCCAGCATGGGTGCTCTCACATGTAGAAGATTGCGGGAAAATTGAGCTATAGAGAAAGGAAGTAAGATGTCATGTCTTTGCCAGGACCAGAGAAAGAATTTTCCACAGTTGTACAAGGTTAGCATAAAAAAAATTTAGTTGGATTTGAGGGAATCTGGATGATTGAGTCATCAGGATGTGCATTAAAAAGATTATTTTTAAAGAAATAACATTTACTTATTTGCAGTTATGAAGCTATATGCTTCTGCCAATAGCCAGTTAGCTTATATTAGACTGGGAACAGGAACAGTTAACCTGGCTCTCTCAGAAGATAACAAAATGTGACCACCAGCACCTCTAAAGCTCTAAATGCTCAAAATGCTCTAAAGCTCGCTACTTAACAGTTTTATCTTGTTTGTTCTGTACTAAAACTGAAGTGTAAGAGCTAGAGGTGCTGGTAGGTTTCTAACCGTAATGCTGACAGCAAGACCAGTCTTTATGCTAAGCTAAGCTAACTAGCTTTGACTAGGTTCATATTTAGCATGCATGAGTTTGATATCAATCTTCTCATCTAAAGCTTTGCAATAAAGTGAATAAGCACATTTCCCAAAAGGTTGAACTATTACTTTGGGATACTTTGACTTTTCATTTTTTCAGCTACTGTAAATGTATAATGCCTGTGGAAAATGGCATCATATATTAGTCTGTGTTTACAATTGTAGCCTTACGATATAAGCTATATTGCTTTTTTTAAAATATCAGTTTATGTAGCTTCTAGTGTAGTGCATTAGTCTGAGTCTCTTTGATCCTTCAAAAGGAAAATAAAGTCACACACTCACATTGATCACACCATTGTTGCCTCTAGTTGCCTCCGTTAAAGTGTCTGAGTAACTATGGCAGGATTGTCAAATACCTCAGAATCAGAATCAGAAAAAGCTTTATTGCCAGATAAGTGTACACATATGAGGAATTTAACTCTGGATTGTACATTGCTCACGATGTGCTTACTTATACAATAACACAATAATACAGTAATAAAATCAAACACAGGCTACAGTATAGAGAACACAAAAAGACAGACTGAGAAAATAGTGCAATGACCAGAGTGCAAAGGATGCAGGAGTAAATTATTATTACCATTGTTGTTATTATTCTGTACATGTCGGAGGTGGATGTGATATACAGGTGCACATACACATACAAGCATAGCAAGCATGTACACAGTGTAATGAGTACAAAGAATGCTGGAATAAATAATTATTATGTGCGGTGTTATGTACATGAGGTAGGGGATTTGGTTTACAGTATATACATATGACAATATGAACAGTTCTGACATAGAGAATGATGAATAAATAAATGGTAGCCAGTAAGCAGGTGGCTGAATAGAGGCCGAGTTACCGGGTTATTGCACAGGAATTGTTCTAGACACTGTGAATCAGAGTCAGCTGTTCATCAGAGTGATGGCTTATGGGAAGAAACTGTTCCCGAGTCTGTTGGTTTTGGCATACAGTGCTCTGTAGCGCCTACCAGAGGGGAGAAGTTGGCCATTTCCTGATACTGGAAATGTATAAGTCCTGAATGGGTGGCAGGTTGGCACCGATGATCTTTTCTGCAGTACTGACTGTCTGTTGTAGTCTGTCCTTGTCCTTTTTGGTGGCAGATCCAAACCAGACAGTGATGGATGAGCAGAGGACAGACTGGATAACGGCTGTGCAAAAGAGGACAAATACCTGTCTGCTTTATTAACAAAACTTTATTTGGACAAAACTTATGAGTTAGTATTCTTAACGGATAAATAGTGGAGTGCAAAATGACACAAAAAAGCTTCTGTATTACCCTCGACCAGTTACCCGAAAATACATCACCAGGGGCTTAACAAGATGCAACCTCAAAGCGACTTCTTCTCACAGGTGTGTTTATAAAAAATAGAAGGAAAAACACCCTAATTTTTAGCTTGGCTTTTCTCTTTGTGTTCAAACCACAGTCATGTTGATATTCATCACATGGAGCCAGTTCTCATTGTGTGCTTATGTGGACAATAGCTAACATGCAAAACAAATGTACTGAGGACAAAAGATTTTTGTTTAAATTATATAATATTATATTATAAATTGAGTGATAACGTCTCAAATTTATT